GGCGCTGCCAGTGCACGCGAGCCCCTGCTTGTGGATGCTGGACATGAACTATGAAATAAATCCTGTTATACTTTGATATTACACGAACATAGAATCGCACTCGGAAGCCAGACCCAAAGCTAGGCACCCATGCTGCTATCCCATGAATTATAGAGTAAAAGTGAAGAAACCATTTGCGTGCATACTTACAATCGTGACTGCAGCAGAATCTACTTGCAGCGTCCCTTTCTTAAAAATTAGTGCGCACGGGCCGCCAACATGCCGCCGACCGCCGGACTTCGCAGTGAAAAGCCAGCGTTCCGAGCTTGCCCAGGACTTGGCCGGCCTTGCGGACCGGGCGGGCTGCGACGACAGCGCCACCACGCTCGCGCGAACGGAGGGGGCCGGCTTTCGAAAGCGCGGCTAATGCGGAGCTGGTCACGTTGACCACAGTGACAAATGCTCGTGATCATCTACGAGCACCTAGGTAGCTACTCCGTGGTGGGTTGAAACTGTTCAAACATCTGGCATAAGTGGCCGCTTCTATACGGGTAATAACCACATCAGAACAGCACGTATACCGGAAGCACATCCGATCCCGAGACCGGTTTTTAAAAAGCTCGCCGGAGTGTTTGATGCACGCGACAGTGACACGTCCGAATTGCACGCGCGTACTCCCGTCCACGCACGTTGTCAATAGGCTTTCATTCTGAAGGCCTTTTAAGTGCTCATTAAACGGGTGTATAAACCTAGTTGAGTGGAGGGCTATCGGAGCAAAAATAATCTTTCGCCATCACCCGAGCGCCCATTGAACAGCGGATACCACTCACGACGTCAGAAAACTTAGCACAAATCTCCATATCCTTCACCCTTCGCAGATTTACATATCTCCATTGAACGCTTTGACAATTCTTGGTCTCTCCGTGTGCCTTCTTCAGTCTAAATGACAGCGGCCTTTCTTTTTTTTTTTTTTTTTTTTAATCGTTAATTCCTTAGACATGCTCTTAGCGAGCCAAGGTCCTCTGACATGAGCGACCCCCTCGGGTAGCTCAGATGTTTGCTCGATTAAGTTGTCTGAAAACATGGATAGGCGGTACGGCGCAACAACAACGCTCGTAGCATCCCGTTGCGGAAAACCTTTGCAGGCGGAAACCAGAAATGAAGTGGCGTGTTTAAAAAAAGACTCGTCACTGGAACTCTGGTCTCGGGGAAAAAAAACTACCTAGGATTATTATTTGACATTAAAATTATTTTATACTAATACATTAAAAAAAAGCGATTGCGCCATATAGTACAGAAAAAGTTGTTTATTCCATCCCGCTATCCTGTGGTAAACAATACGTTGGCCAGACGGGCAGATGCCTGAATGATAGGTTAAGAAAACATTGTTACATTGTAAACAGGGTGGTACCAGGGCACTTGTTCATTCATTGTCGTAACTGTAAAAATGATGCGAAATTTGATTTTAAAAAAATTCACTGTCATTGGAAGAAGTGCCAATGCCGTGACCAGACAAATTATGGAGGCAGAGGCGATAGCGCTCTTAGGGGAAGAGTGTGTCAGCGCCCCGTCGGTTCTTTTGTCGGCTAAACTAAAGAATTAAATTTCCTTTCACGGCGGCAGCATGCGCGATAATGGTGCGGGTTTCAGTGGGGTGTCATTGGCTGTGTTTGCTTCCTTTTGTTTGGTCGTGTATATAGGCTGCGCCTTGAGGATAAAAACTTCAGTTGTAAGTTCAGCGGTTGTTTGTCTCCTTTCTTCCGTCCCGTCTGTTTCGATGTGGACAAAAGTGTGGCGAGTATGATATTACGATTTCTGAGATCTCAAGGGGAAAAAAAAATCGATCATTCCACGTTCTTTCAGCTCTCTTATCGCGGCGTCCGGAAATTTGAAGATACTTCCACCTATGCGTTTGTTTGCCATCTTAAGCTGGAGAGCACTAATGCAAAGCCCTAAAATGCTCTGGTTAGGAGCTATCAGACTGCTTCGTTCATACGTAGAGGTATTGACTTAGTAAGGATATAATGAAGAAGAGCACAGACATGATATCATGCGATCACATTTATGATGCTTGAAATGCTGGCGACGGGAGCTTCCTTCGATTGGTTGCTGTGAGACTAGGTTAAGTACGAACACGAAGGGGTATTTAATGTAAAACACGACTTCCTTAAATACCTATTTAATACCCCATCAAGGGCTGGGATTCTTCTACTGGCGGTGGGTCGTGAATTGACGGTGGCGTGTGCTTTATGTCAGATATGTATGCTTATGCAGGTTGTAAGTTGCAGCACAATCTACACTAGAGCTATAGTACTACCAAGGGAACGATCATGCTTCTCGCGACAGTGCCGAGACCGGCCGCTCAAACTCAGTATTAAAAAATAAACAAACAACACTCAGCATATGGTGCATAGTAGAGTTCAATACGCCGTGAGGTACCTCAGTTGCGCTACCAGAGAGTTTAAAACACAAGAGCGAGTAATTTCGCGTTTCCAAGGTACTCATAACTAGCATAACGAACACCAAGCAGCAACAGATACCCTCGTTGTTTTTGACAGATGAAAAAGGGAAAGAAGGCTGTCCTGTGCGGCTCGCCATGGAGAAAGTCTGGTTTTCTTTTTTATTGTTAATTTATTTTCTATGTGGGGAAACTTAATACATTTTTTGTATCTTTCGGGCATAAGCAAGAGACGCACTTCACAGACGTTGCGTTATGTTGAGCTGCGTTCCATTTGTCCAGCGCGTCGGAATTCCGAGCCTTTCGAAACGGGGCACACTCATTCAGGTGTCGGCTATTCTGTTTCCCTAGATCACAGATGAATCGTATGTCTGGCGATAACCGGTTCTTCATTTAAGGAAAGACATTATCCTGACAGTTGCTCCATAAAATCCGTGTGTACGTCATCACTGTCTCTGAAGCAGGGCGAGAACAATCGACGTTAAATAAATTCCACCACACAGTGCATATTTGGGTTCAGTGTGGAATCTGAAAAATGCCCTCTGACATAACTTGTAGAACTGATCCTCCTAAATAATAGAAGTAGGTTGACCAAGCGACATGGTAGAGCGGGAACTGACTTCAAAATGGGGTGAGTCCAGCAGGAATTGCGGGTTTATAATAGTAAGCGAGATAGACAAAAGGTCAATCCGAATTCAAGTGTCTTGGCCCGCATAAAGCATGATATTATTAAATGTCGTCGCAAAATTAACAAGTTCATCGTTTTTTTTGTTTTGTTTTTTTCGGGAGTGTAGTGGGAAAACACGGCTTTAAATCTGTCTTGTGCAGTGACACACGTAGATTTAAACAAAATAATGAGCGTCTCCGACACCAACATTGTAAGTAACCAGCGCACGAATAAAAAAGAAACATTGAAAAGAAAACGCACTGGAATGTAAAGGCTAGGAGAGAAGGGCTGTTGCAGAATGTTTCGGCACCTTTGAGAAAGGGACGCAGTCCGGGCAGTCCGTGAGTGCGAGAGTAGTAGCAGTCCCAAAGGCTCGTTCCAGACTGATTGTTTCCCAGCTGCACGCGGCCTTTTATGCGTTGCGCCTTCTTTCCGCGCGCGGGAACCCGCGCTGGAGCGGGCCGACTCGATCGGTCGGTCGGCGCTCTCTCACTTCCACGTGCGTCCCGAGGTCGCCTCCGCGGTGTTGGCCGGACGCGTCCGAGAGCACTCACTCGGAGCCATCTGCCTCAAGGACATCGAGTCTCCGGTCCTCTTCCAGGAGCTGCGTCCAGTCGTGGCGTTTGAACGTCAGGGCGGACACTGCTTGTTCGATTGGCGTGTGGCCAAATGCCATCAATCTCGGCGACGTCGCCACGTGACCGAAACGTCTCGCCTCGGGCGCTTCTGCTGGCCGCTGAAACCTTGTCCGCGGGTAGGGAGGGGCCGACCAATGTCGGAGTCAGCCGTCGCGTCTGAGCGCCGGAGGGCCTCCGTCTGTGTTCGTTTCCCGTCGGTCAACCTTCCGCGTTTCCGCTTTCGATGAATGTTTTGATTCCCCTCGCCGGAGGCCAAGTCTGGAAAATGTCTATTTTCTGAGAAAATTCCATAGGGACTGCCCTCCCCCTTGCGCGCCCCTCGGCAATCTGTGCGCTTGCCTCTGCCTCGTTTAGCTACCTCAAAAGGAAATAGATATTTAAGGAAAAACAAGGCAGTTATCTTCGGGTGCACGCGCGTGGGTCAACGTCATACGATCGACACTACTCTTCACGGAACACGTTTGAGCCGGATATAACCGGTCATGGCAGGATGACTTTGTTCATTTTGCTAGGAGAGACTCGGTGACGTATTGCCAGCTGCCTGTTTGCGCAAAGTGACGAAATGCACCCTGAAATGTGAAACGAAGCAACGCTTGGGTGCTTCGGGCTGCAGAAGTTTTTTAGCGTAGAGGATGGCAGTTGCAACCGGTTCTCTTTGCCACGGACTGCACACGTAGTGCATCCCGTGACTTTTTTTTTAATCATTTACTTAACGCCAAACACATGCTTCACAACTACAGTGCTGCGAAATCAGAGACTACATCTGACAGCGCCAGATCAGATCGTACGACAATGTTAGCGCGAACAAGCCATCGCCGGCTTTTTCTTTCTTTTATTAATCTCAATATTGAAGGGCTTTCATCCAAGCTACTATAGTGGTGAAAAATGATCAGTTGGGGTACTAACCTAAAACCGGGCTGGACGCTGCTTACACATCATACAAAAGACAGTCTTCATGCAGATTCGAACGCGTGTCACCTCGAGATCCGTGCCTTGAATGCCGCATGGCAATGATTTCAAACAGAAAACTTGGCACGCGGCAGTCAAACCACGAATATTTCCTGTGACTCGTGCTTGCAGTCTGTCTTTTGTATGATGTATGCGCAGTGTGACCCCGGCTTAAGTGGCAACTTTTGATGTCCGCCAGAACTTTTTTCGAATTAAAATGGGAAAAAGCCACGCAGCCTTGCTCGCGCTAACAGTGTCACGTAGTGTACCACGGTTATAGATGCTGATTGTTGTTTTCTCTTTTTTGCAGGTTGTTGCCAAGCCTGACCAACCCCGTAGCTCGACCAGACACTGGGACCTTTCGACAGATTGTTTTGAAACACCACCTTGCTTTTGAGTTTCCGTACTAATGTGCACTCCCCCAGTACAGCACATCAAGTTAGAGCTTGTGCCATCCAGAAAATTGAACGTGCCGGGACAACACACCGCAAACAATACACGACAACCGGGTGCTCACTCCGGTCGCTTAGTAATAAAGAAATCGGACCTTTCTCAATGTTGGGAGCACTCATGGTTTTGTTCGACACGTCTGTTATGGATTTCACAAAAGTTTGTCCACTGTGAAAACCCGTCATTTCTCTATTCTCCCGACAGGTCTACAGGCGAGTCAAGGTGAGTGTGGTCGAGGCAGCGTTACGTTTACGCTTCATTGGTGCCGCTAACAGCGGATCAGTCAATCGAGGCACGCTCACAAACGCGAAGCATTTGCCGACTTTTGTTTTTAATTCGGTTCGAGCCAAGTGTAAAGCTTTAGTTACAACGGGAGGCATGTGTTGCCAGCTGGAAATTTCAGCGCGCAGTTGGACAGGAAAAAAGTAAAACGCGGCTTGATCCGGGAAACACCGAAACCCCTTTAGACGCCAGAGTAATACCCAATTCACAAGGCAGCGTAAAGGTACATTTAGCTTAGGTCCCTTTGCTATCGGCGAATCAGCCCGTGCCCTTAGGTCGCGAGCACACGCCACGCGCGGAAGATCGTTAATTGATTGGCCGCAGAGAATAAAGGTCCCTTAGCTAAAGGTACGTTTACGGTCGTGTGAATGGGGTATAAAGCCCCTTCATGTTTTAAAAGTATACGCAAGGTTCGGCGACGCTAGAAGAACGTGCAACGTGCAGCCCTTGGAAAGATCATTGCAGCAGAGCGCAGCACTGAGCTAGATGTTAGACGCCATGTTCTTCCCAGAAGTGGAGCGCGAGGCACGTCTCGAGCATTTCCACAAGAATGAATGGCGCCACTTTTTCCAGGAAGAGGGGCTTTACGTCAGAGGTTTTTCACGGGCCCTCTTACTGTTCGCACCCGTGGCGTCAAGATCAGGATTTATCTCAGTGATTGTGATCCTGGCTGGCTGTGTATCGTCAGTTGTGAGCGACAAGTTCGATGGTGTGCAAAGAGCACGATGGAAGCTTGTAGTCATGTACTCAATACCAAAACCGTCAAAGCCGACGTTTTGGCTTAACCTCCATCGACGAAAGCAAAATAAATCCAACTAAAATCGTCATAGTGAACCCTTGCCCAATCGTGGAAGGTTTAGTGGAAAGCAGACTACACCAACACTCGTGGTCACCGTTCTGCATCGTAATATTCGGTAGCATGGCAGAAATAAGAAGCCGTTGAGTTGGGGTCTGAAAACACGCGCTTAAATTTCCTCGGCACCATACGTCCGATGGGAAAGTTACACAACCGAAAACAACACCAAACAAAACGTCGGAGCGTCAAAACTGCCTGCTGTCAAGATAGCAGAGCAACTACACAGCAGACAACCAATGCACAGCGACGGAAACAACATGCAACAAGTGCTTAGCGACAAAACAGCACAAAGGAAAATTATTGACACTCGCGAGCGTTTGTTATCACAATCAGCGGAAAGCCCCATATAAAAAAAGGAAACAACGACAACAACAACAACAAATGTTTCCGAAGGTTTTGGAATGTTCATCCCAAAGCATCTGCCATAGCATAGGCCAGGGGTGACCAAACTGCGGCTCGCGAACCGCATGCGGCTCTTCGCGGGTCCAAATGCGGCTTGTGGCTCACTGGTAAGCGTGCCGCCCTTCCCCTCCTGTGTCCCCAAGACCGAAAAGAGTTATAAAATAAAACAAAAATGCTCATAGTCTTGGCAGCTTTGTACTACACTACGTACATACAACTGGACTGCATTTTGACACATAGACGTGTACAGTGACCCTGTGTCCTTTATTGTCATAGAAAGAATCTCGAACCCTACACATATAACGGGAGTCAGGGGCCGTGACTCACTAGCGAACCATGCATTCATTTTTGCTTAGCGGTTGAAGAAACGTTCCGCCTGCTTGGTATTATTTGTTGTAAACAACAAATATACTTGCCCCCTTTGGAAAGGAGTGTTCCCTCCATATCGTTTATTCTTAAAAGTAGCCCCCCCCCCCCCCCCCCCCCCATTTTTTCTTTATTTTTCTTGAGGCTCTTTGAACTTTTGTAGTTTTGTCTGCGGTTCTAACCCAATGTCACTCTTGTCACCCCTGGCGTAGGCCACGATCAAGAAACAAATGAAAACGATGTAATACCGGCAGAAAGTAGTAGACCATGTTCAGCGTGTTTTAGCTTTACAGGAGTTGAAAAAAATATATATCGCATGCAAAATGTTCAGTAATGTTATACAGAACATTTGTGGAACCAGAAACTGTCTGGCCCGCCACTATCAGTGCGTAGAAAGAAAACATAAGCTTTTTAGTGGTATGTTATTATGACGGTGTTATCTACGAAACAATTCTCCAAATTTTCAGAAAAGCTATACCCTCGAGATATTCAAAGTCGAGTTTGTCAAAAACAGCAAATATTATTTGCTTCAAACGTTTTTTTTATATAGTTTAAAACAGACGGTTTAGATATTGGTTGACCTTTTTTCTTTTGTTGTACGGGATAACCAGTTAAATAAGCCGCCCGCTTCTCGTCGTGTCGCTCAGCCTCCAGCTCCGGTAATTTGGCTTCGTCGCAAGTCCCCAAAGTTCCTAATGGGCTCAGGAATAATCAGTGTTGAGTAAAGCACATCTAAAAGGCACCTGAAGTAAAGTGCAAAGTAAATGAGAGGTTAAGGATACCAGGCGCAATGTACTTGAAGAAATGTAATATAAATACAACTTACTTTAAAGTAGAGCATACAAGTACTTTTAACACAATCTTTTACGATGTCCTTTCATCCCCTCATATAGTGTTCTTTTTTTTTTTTTAAACCGGTATGCACTGCTAATGGCGTGATCGGGGTGCATCAGTTATTTTCGGAAAGGGCGGCGAACATTGGATAAAGTCAAATGGCCACAAAGTAGTTTCTTTTCTCTCGCTGACGAACATTTTAAATCAATCAACTTATAAGGCACTTAATGGTTGACAAATCATCATTTTGTGATACAAGTTTAACAAGTCCAAATTTTGGGAATGTACTTTGAAGTCGGCAGTTTTACTTTCTTTGGTAAGTACCAGAAGAAATACTTTACGTACAAGTACATACTCAGAGAATGTACTTCGAGTAAAGTACAAGTTTTCTGACCAGTGTTGGGAAGTACTTAAAGTACTTCCCAACACTGGGAATAATATTTGACACCTAAGACAACTTTTCCATGAGGTACTATTTACTACATCGTTACCAAGGGCTAAAATTAGTATCGACGTTCACTCGCTATTGTAACGTCGAATCTCAGAACGTTGGTGAGCTAAACGTAATACTCCTAACATTGGCAGCACAGTATGTGTTCTTAGAATAATCACTAAATCATCACGTGATGATGGGCAAGGCCAAATGATGAAGTGAAAACCCTCATGGGTATTCCATGCAAGAGGTAGCACATGTCTTGCTGCCGTGCAGCATTCACGCACGTAGGGTTGAACTTGAATTGCGAATTGGCATGAACAATATATATATATATATATATATATATATATATATATATATATTATTATTATTATTACTATTATGAAAGCCCCGAGGCCAACATAAATCAAGTTCCAGTAGAGGAAAATAAGGTTCTGGTTTGTGTAAGGTCTTCAATTCGAGGTTCAACGTTTTTCACGAATTTTCTGTTCTTTACAAAAATACGCTCACATCTTACTCAAACTTCTGGGACCATTTGTATCCTGCAAATTGAATTTTATAAATGCAAATTTTGTTTTACAAACTTTTAATTAAGCAAGCAATATCTAGCAATTATGTCTAGCATTCGATTGGCAGTATTAAATGAACTTCTCGAAGCTTCACAGTAAAACTTAGTGCGTTCGTAATTATCAATGTATGCTGTCTGGTGTCATAACGATAATTCTGGATAACTTAACCCACAAAACTACATTATGCTCCAAGTGTATAAAAAAAAAATATTTTCAAATATTCCAAGCCAGTTTTCTGCAAAATTTAATATTTTGCTTGATTTGTTTTCTTTTTTGTGTGTGTGATAGACTAGCACTGGATATTATTATTATAGGCGTTATCTTGATGCCACTAGTTTGAGAAGCCGCGTCTAGTCTGCCCCCAGAACATCTATTTTCGGCATACTGACCAGCGTTGTTAGCAGGGAATAAAATGTAAAAAAAAATAAAATACTATACCATCTGCTGTTCTCTTGCATATGCTCTTAACAGTAGCTGATATATTTCAGAAACGTGATGAAGGATCAGAGTTTAAAAATACGATATCGTACAAGGACCTCACACTGAACAACAACATGTTTCTGCATGTCACTGAAAGACAATGAGCAGAGGCCAAATGTAAGCCTTAAAATAGAAATGCACTGAAGCCTGTAATTTCAGAATTGGCGTGCCAAACGTTTAGGTAGCAGCGCTAGGGTAAACTTTGTGTGAAAGCAACATCAACGATTGCAGAATTTTCTTATACAGGCGTAAAACACCGACAGTTAACGTATAGGTATACCGTTGTCTAGGAGAGAGAAGGCAAACTGATTCTCCGTCTTTCCTCAGCCTCTTTTCATAAAGATCATCAGCATCATCATCATCATTATTTGTTTTTCCTCGCGGGTCCAAGCGGGTATTATACAATAGAGTGAACAATAGAAACAATCATCACATCATTTAACACGGAAATAAATTATCTGTAACTTGTGGGTGTTAGGGAGGAAGAGGGGGGTTGCTACAAATGTACCAGTCTCAGTTATGACGACCATTGATTAGGTAGTGCGTTCCAGTTATTTATAGCCAAATGTAATATGGGCATTTGGTAAGAGGCATTGGACGATGGAATGGGACCTAATTTACAAGAATGGAAATGAGTGAAAACACGGTGAGGGGGTGATAGCAAAGATTCTCTGAGGTGTCTGTAGTTATAAACGATATAATGAAAAGAGATGGTCGACTGTGGCGGAGACAAAGTGTGTCTTGGTTAGCTGACTGGCAAATACTAGACCCTAATATGTTAGTAGTTAGAGTAAATAACACAAAATGCTCTGTTTTGAACAAATTCAAAGCGCTTCCTCCACATGGAGGAAGCGCATACAAACTTTGACCTTACCACAGTA